TCACCAACGAGTAGAGATTGGCATTTAAAATAGGATTGTAACATTATGCTTCCGACGCACCAATTGTGTGAAACAACGTTTTAATACTGCTTACTTGTTTTTCGTTTAACAATAGCAAGTTTCATCGCTATCCTTCTAAAGATAGAGGTTATCTTCTGTCAATCAGCTGAAATCAGGTAAACGCAGTTCCAACTTCACAGCAAACGGGTTTCCCCACGATTGTCCCGTTCTTGTGCCAACTAAAACCACACAGAATGTCCATCACTATCTCTTGTGAAAATACTAACACAGACTGCAGACTCGGCAAAGTCAAAGGCCCACAAATATATTAAATGAATAGGGCAGCCGTCAGACGTACCAACACATACAGGCTGACATTAGAAATACAGTTCATCGTCGATCGAAGCAGCAGTTACACAGATTAGTAGTTGCAGACGCAATTAATCGCATAAGTAACCACCAGTTGTGTGGCTACAGAGCACTTGCCATTCTATGATCATCACAACAAACCACAGTCGAAACGCATTCCAAATTGAAACCGCAGCTCACGGTGTCGCGAAATGCACTCAGCTCAGTAGCTGGGCGCTGGAACTATATCCTTGCAATCTACATATGGAGGAAAATGCAATGACTAACTATTGTCAAAAACAGAAATTTGCCCCGACTCTAAAACACACACACTCACACACACACACACACACACACACACACACACACACACACACAAACACACTAAAGCCTCTCTGTCATACTGATAGGCATAAAAGCAGCTGTCTTCTTTTTGATACGCCGAGAACAGCAACAATTCTATTCCCCAAGATGTACAAAACAATCGGCCTAAAAATACTTTTCAACGAGGTTCTGTGATTGGTAAGAAGACATGACATAATCGTCATCAAGAAGTTTGTTGACTGGAGTAGATGAACATGCCTCACTGCAACCTGCGACCTCCAACAGCATGCATCAGTTTGTGTGCTGACCCATCCATGCGATGACACAAGTTGTCAAAAACCTTCTCCATCTGTCTTCGTCTGTATCTCTTTCCATGAGTTTTTCCAGCTGTCACATTTTCCAGTGCACTTTTTCTCATAATATTGCCAAAATTAATGACTGCCTCGTTCAGATGTTTGTAGAATACAAATACCTGTATTACTCATTTTTTTTTCTTTCTTTTTGTGCCAAAGAAATGTCAAAACATTCTTCTGTAAAACGACTTCTGTAAAACGACTTCTGTAAAACGACTTCTGTAAAACGACTTCTGTAAAACGACTTCTTTAAGCTCCAAGAAATTGTTCTGCTGGTTTAATAACTGTCCCAGGAAGTACAGCCATATGTTAAATCTAGTTCTGTGTAGCATGCAATAATTGTCCTTACGATCTTCAATGACAGAGATTTATAGCATATGTGTGTATGTGTGTGTGTATGTGCGTGGACGCTTTTAAACAAATTGTGAGTATGTTTACAAGTATAATTTTGTCTTGATTGTATCCCTAGGTATCAGTCCTTTCTGCCATGGGAGAAGAGATCATTGCTGGAGTTAAAACAGGCAGGGAATAACGTCACCGTAACCAGAAGGTGCGAACTTACGCACAGCATTCCGCCACATGGCTGCTTCGATCCTGAATATTTAGTGCTAGTTTTTGAGATAGAACATATCCGAGTACTTAATAATAGTAACAGTCATCATTGTGTAACATAACGTCGCTTTCCCCATAAGAAAGGCAGTGTGAATATTCGCCTCTTGTCAATTCTTCTGCTACATAAGTTTTAATGTTCAAGGTATCTTTGGTGTTTTGTGTCCATCTTCTTGCTGATTGATTCCTGTTTCTTCATCCGAGGACTACGCCTACTAGACTTAACTAGAACCATATGTCAGTTAACTTTGAAATGTAGCAGGGAAAAGAATTAAGATGTGCCAAAAGATGCAGTTTCTTACCCGGATGTGGGGATTAGATTAAAAATGCCACAGCAACATACAGTTGTCTGCAAATGTGAATAAGAATATAACATTATACGCAACTTTAAGAAAGAGGAGAATTAAGATATGGAAGAAGACAGAGAAGATGGAGGACAGGAAGGAGGAGGATGAAAAGAAGACGAAAAAGAAGAGGAAGAAGGAGAAGAAGATGGATAAAAAAACGAGGAAGAGGAAGATGATGGTAGAAGACAGCGCAGAAGAACAACAACAAGCATAAGAAGCAGAAGAGCAGGATTGACAGGAAAGGAGTAATCCTTAAGCTTTAACATTATAAAACCGTGACTAAACGTTCTAGTCGTCTTTGTCTTCTGTGTTTCCCATTGAAAGGGCTGTTGGCCCGTCGGTTTTGTATAAGTTCACATTTACACTACGATATGTTCGCCTTTTGGCACACAACCTACCACTGCACAAAATGCCCGATTAGTCGACTTAAACTTCAGGCTCGTTAGGGGAACAGTGGGCCCCTTTCCTTTAAATGGGGCCCCGGAACCACCTGGGTAAAACAATAAATTCATCAAAGACAAAAACAAGTCATGAAGCTGACGTGGAACAGAATCATGTGGACGCATACAAAACACCAGTTAATTGTCCTCAGTTTGATAAACCTCTGGCCCACTTCAAGTTGACCTGGCCACGTAACATTGGGACAGGAACGTTGGAACCTTGGGGCTCGGGTACCTTTAAGCCCCCATCAATTTTTTTGGGGGAGGGGGAGGGGAGCTGAACACTAATCCCACTTCCTTCCTTTCCACCCCTTGCCAGAAACGATGGGTTTGGAGTGTGTGTGTGTGTGTGTGTGTAGGAGGGGGGGGGATAGCTGAGTAGTCCCCCTCAGTCAAAGCTTTTCAACTAACATGCTTAGGCCATGAGGTCCTAATTTGTGTCTGTCTGTCTGTGACCCTGCGTTGAAGTGATCCGTATTGACTATTTTATCACCTAGTTTGAACAGCCCACTTGTCTGGTGTATGCTGGGAGCTCACTTGAGGTCACGCGGTATCATCTTCATGGTCTCATAAGGACACAGCGTGACACTAGGTCACTAGCCGCTATGTCTGTCTGATCATTTCCCTGTACCTCTTTCTGTCTGTCTGATCATTTCACTGTAGCTCTTTCTGACTGTCTGATCATTTCCCTGTACTTCTCTCTGTCTGTCTGATCATTTCGGTGTACCTCTCTCTGTCTGTCTGATCATTTCACTATAGATCTTTCTGTCTGTCTGATCATTTCCATGTACCTCTCTGGCTGTCTCATCATTTTCTTGTACCTCTCTCTGTCTGATCATTTTCCTGTACCTCTCTCTGTCTGTCTGTCCGATCATTTCCCTGTTGCTCTGTCTGTCTGTCTGTCTGATCATTTCCCTGTACCTCTCTCTGTCTGTCTGATAATTTCCCTGTAGCTCTTTCTGTCTGTCTGATCATTTCCCATTACCTCTCTCTGTCTGATCATTTCCCGGTAGTTTTGTCTGTCTGTCTGATCATTTCCCTGTTAATCTCTCTGTCTGTCGGATCCTTTCCCTGTTAATCTCTCTGTCTGTCTGATCATTTCCCTGTCTGTCTGTCTGTCTGTCTGTCTGTCTGTCTGTCTGTCTGTCTGTCTGTCTGTCTGTCTGTCTGTCTGTCTGTCTGTCTGTCTGTCTGTCTCTGTCTGTCTGTCTGTCTGTCTGTCTGTCTGTCTGTCTGTCTGTCTGTCTGTCTGTCTGTCTGATCATTTCCCTGTACCTCTCTCTGTCTGTCTTATAATTTCCCTGTAGCTCTTTCTGTCTGTCTGATCATTTCCCATTACCTTTCTCTGTCTGATCATTTCTCTGTAGTTTTGTCTGTCTGTCTGATCATTTCCCTTTTAATCTCTCTGTCTGTCTGATCATTTCCCTGTTAATCTCTCTGTCTGTCTGATCATTTCCCTGTTAATCTCCTTGCCTGTCTGATCATTTCACTGTTAATCTCTCTGTCTGTCTGATCATTTTCCTGTACATCTCTCTGTCTGATCATTTCCCATTACCTCTGTCTGTCTGATCATGTCCCTGTACCTCTCACTGTCTGTCTGATAATTTCCCTGTACCTTTTTCTGTCTGTCTGCTCATTTCCCTGTACCTCTCTCTGTCTGTCTGATCATTTTCCTGTAGCTCTTTTTGTCTGTCTGATCATTTCCCTGTACCTCTGTCTGTCTGTCTGCTCATTTCCCTGTAGCTCTTTCTGTCTGTCTGCTTATTTTCCTGTAGCTCTTTCTGTCTGCCATATCATTTTCCTGTACCCCTCTCTGTCTGTCTGATGATTTCCCTGTACCTCTCTCTGGCTGTCTGTCTGTCTGTCTGATCATTTCCCTGTACATCTCTCTGTCTGTCTGATCATTTCCCATTACCTCTCTGTGTCTGATCATTTCCCTGTACATCTCTCTGTCAGTCTGATAATTTCCCTGTAGCTCTGTCTGTCTGTCTGATCATTTCCCTGTATCGCTCTCTGTCTGTCTAATCATTTCCCTGGTAATCTCTCTGTCTGTCTGTTCATTTCCCATTACCTCTGTCTGTCTGTCTGTCTGTCTGTCTGTCTGATCATTTCCCTGTAGATCTCTCTGTCTGTCTGATCATTTCCCACTACCTCTCTCTGACTGATCATTTCCCTGTACATCTCTCTGTCTATCTGATCATTTCCCATTACCTCTCTCTGTCTGATCATTTTACTGTACATCTCTATGTCGGTCTGATCATTTCCCATTATCTCTATCTTTCTGATCATTTCCCTGTACATCTCTCTGTCTGTCTGCTCATTTCCCTGTTAATCTCTCTGTCTGTCTGATCATTTCCCATTACCCCTCTCTGTCTGTCTGATTATTTCCCATTACCTCTCTCTGTCTGATCATTTCCCTGTACATCTCTCGGTCTGTCTAATCATTTCCTATTACCTCTCTCTGTCTGTCTGTCTGATCATTTCCCATTACCTCTCTCTGTCTGATCATTTCCCTGTACATCTCTCTGTCTGTCTAATCATTTTCCATTACCTCTGTCTGTCTGATCATTTCATATTACCTCTCATTGTCTGATCATTTCCCTGTACATCTCTCTGTCTGTCTGATAATTTCCCATTACCTCTCTCTGTCTGTCTGATTATTTCCCTGTACATCTCTCTGTCTGTCTGATCATTTCCCATTACCTCTCTCTGTCTGTCTGTCTGTCTCATCATTTCCCTCTAGCTCTCTCTGTCTGATCATTTCCCATTACCTCTCTCTGTCTGATCGTTTCCCTGTTGCTCTCTCTGTCTGATCATTTCCCATTACTTCTCTCTGTCTGATCATTTCCCTGTTGCTCTCTCTGTCTGATCATTTCCCTCTAGCTCTCTCTGTCTGATCATTTCCCATTACTTCTCTCTGTCTGATCATTTCCCTGTTGCTCTCTCTGTCTGATCATTTCCCTCTAGCTCTCTCTGTCTGATCATTTCCCATTACCTCTCTCTGTCTGATCGTTTCCCTGTTGCTCTCTCTGTCTGATCATTTCCCATTACTTCTCTCTGTCTGATCATTTCCCTGTTGCTCTCTCTGTCTGATCATTTCCCTCTAGCTCTCTCTGTCTGATCATTTCCCTCTAGCTCTCTCTGTCTGATCATTTCCCATTACCTTTCTCTGTCTGATCATTTCCCTGTCGCACTCTCTGTCTGATCATTTCCCATTACCTCTATCTGTTTGATCATTTCCCTGTTGCTCTCTCTGTCTGATCATTTCCCATTACCTCTATTTGTTTGATCATTTCCCTGTTGCTCTCTCTGTCTGATCATTTTCCTGTTGCTCTCTCTGTCTGTCGGATGCGATGGGTTTGAGGCCTGCATGCTTGAGGCCTGCACAGTCAGCCAAATTCTCGGGAATTTTTTTTTTTCAACAGCCTTTCCTCCTCTTCCCCTCTACTGAACCAATAGTATCATTTTGGATAGATCGGCAGATCTTGGTAAATTTCCGCACCAGTGCATCGTTGTTTCTATCATTATCATCTTGTAACACTACGTGTCGTTGGGTCATCAGTTTCTGTCAACTGTCTGATCAGCTCTCTCCACCTATGGTAGTCAGCTGCGATGGACTTCATGGTTGCATGCCTGAGGCCTGTCCAGTCAGCCAGGACCTGTAGCCAGGTCTTTCTTGGTCTTCCTCTTCTCATCTTTCCCTCCACTAAACCCTGCAGTTTTATTGTTGAGAGGTCGTTAGATCTTATCTCATTTTATTTTTCGCCTTTTCACTTTAGTTAAAATAGGTTCATAGTTAACAATATGCTGTATAATTATATGGCGACCCTCTTCGTCTATAATGTGGTCTATGTTTGATATCCCAATTTTTTTTCGAAAACATCGCATTTCTAATGCTTGTATCTTTAGGTCAAGTTCAGCTGTTAAGGTCCACGTTTCACAGACATGTGTAAATTTACAAATAGCTAGTGCTATGAGCAGTCAAATCTTAGTTTTGCATGAAATGATTTTAGATCTCCATAATGTTTGCTGCTTGGCAAGGACTGATGTTGTCTGGGCTTGTCATTGTTTCTACTGTTGTTGAAAAGAGGTTTCGCGCTTGAAGACAAGTCTTCATTTTGCTGACTGAAGAAATTAACAAGGCTAGTTGGGCGGTTCGATATATCATCCTCACTGCACGTCGATTCAGTACAGAAGTGTTCTGTTCGCCATATCAACCTCACTGCACGTCGATTCAGTACAGAAGTGTTCTGTTCGCCATTTCAAGTCTCACTGCACGTCGATTCAGTACAGAAGTGTTCTGTTCGCCATTTAAGTCTCACTGTATGTCGATTCAGTACAGAAGTGTTCTGTTCGCCATTTAAGTCTCACTGCACGTCGATTCAGTACAGAAGTGTTCTGTTCGCCATTTAAGTCTCACTGCACGTCGATTCAGTACAGAAGTGTTCTGTTCGCCATTTAAGTCTCACTGCATGTCGATTCAGTACAGAAGTGTTCTGTTCGCCATATCATTCTCACTGTATGTCGATTCAGTACAGAAGTGTTCTGTTCGCCATATCATTCTCACTGTATGTCGATTCAGTACAGAAGTGTTCTGTTCGCCATATCATTCTCACTGTATGTCGATTCAGTACAGAAGTGTTCTGTTCGCTATATCAGAATTACTGTATGTCGATTCAGTACAGAAGTGTTCTGTTCGCCATATCAGCTGCACTGTATGTCGATTCAGTACAGAAGTGTTCTGTTCGCCATTTAAGTCTCACTGCACGTCGATTCAGTACAGAAGTGTTCTGTTCGCCATTTAAGTCTCACTGTACAGTACAGAAGTGTTCTGTTCGCCATTTAAGTCTCACTGTATGTCGATTCAGTACAGAAGTGTTCTGTTCGCCATTTAAGTCTCACTGCACGTCGATTCAGTACAGAAGTGTTCTGTTCGCCATTTAAGTCTCACTGCATGTCGATTCAGTACAGAAGTGTTCTGTTCGCTATATCAGAATTACTGTATGTCGATTCAGTACAGAAGTGTTCTGTTCGCTATATCAGAATTACTGTATGTCGATTCAGTACAGAAGTGTTCTGTTCGCTATATCAGTAATTCAGTACAGAAGTGTTCTGTTCGCTATATCAGAATGTATGTCGATTCAGTACAGAGAAGTGTTCTGTTCGCTATATCAGAATTACTGTATGTCGATTCAGTACAGAAGTGTTCTGTTCGCCATATAAGTCTCACTGTATGTCGATTCAGTACAGAAGTGTTCTGTTCGCTATATCAGAATTACTGTATGTCGATTCAGTACAGAAGTGTTCTGTTCGCTATATCAGCTGCACTGTATGTCGATTCAGTACAGAAGTGTTCTGTTCTGTTGTATGTCGATTCAGTACAGAAGTGTTCTGTTCGCTATATCAGAATCTCTGTATGTCGATTCAGTACAGAAGTGTTCTGTTCGCCATATCAGCCTCACTGTATGTCGATTCAGTACAGAAGTGTTTTGTTCGCCATATCAGCCTCACTGTATGTCGATTCAGTACAGAAGTGTTCTGTTCGCCATATCAGAATCACTGTATTTCGATTCAGTACAGAAGTATTCTGTTCGCCATATCAGCCTCACTGCATGTCGATTCAGTACATAAGTGCTTTGTTCATATCAGCAAATCCGTCAGCATATGGCGACTCACCACACGTCGGCAACCTGCTCGCCCCTAGGCTCGCCTTTAGACGCTTTCGTCGTCGGTAGGGAGAGTATTTGGGGCTGTCTCCTTTGATCGTATCAACACTTCAGGAGTCCTTTTCAGGACTCTTGGTAGCGTGCAATTTGAAACCATTTTATGTAGCACATATAACATAGTCACAGTTATAACCAAATGCTTACCCTTCGAGGATGCTGGTTGAATGTGACGATTTATTTTTCCAGCAAAGCACCTACTTACATACGACTTACCACACCAATGCTGTGTTGCTTCTAAAATTTTTATTTTACTCCTGCGTTGGGCTTTTGTCTGGTTTCACCCTCTTCTGACTTTTTGCTGTTCCTGTAATATAAAAAAGACTGTCGAATCAAATCCATCTCTTGAATGTTTTAGTTTCAATACCTCTCTGGTGAGAGGAAGATTCACTGCTTGTTCTATTTCTACAGTAGCCCCGTCATTCAAGATAATTGTTGATGTATTTGTCATGCAGCAATTATTTAAAAAAAAAAAAGTATAATTATTGTTAATATGCGGATAAACAACGATTAAGCCTCGGTGACGCCCCCCCCCCGCCCCCACCCCCAGAAAATCATGGAATCCCTCTTCCTCATCTCCCAATGATTTTGTGATGGTTCCAGTGGCAGCATCTGCAGTTCGTCTGTCTTTACTTTTAATTCATGAATTTAGTTAAATTAGATGTCCCAGGCATATTCAAATTCTCTAATTCATTTTTGCATTGAAAAAAAAAAAAAAAAAGATTACAAACACAACTAACAGTTTTGAGTTGATTGTAAATATAAATATTTCAAGACGATTCTGTATCCTTTTTTGAATGAAATTGTTGATGACATTGCTCTGATTTTCTGACGATTTTGTATAAATTGTGATTGTTCTGTGTGCATTGAATGTTGTTACTGCATTTATTTAGTCCTGATTGTGATTTAATTGTATGTTGTGTTTGCATGTGTCTATATATAGTGCTGATTTTGTGTTGATTTCTGTCCATATTTCCAGCATGTAAAGAGGAGAAAAGAGGATATGTACCTGCGTCTGTCTGTCTGTCTGTCTGTCTGTCTGTCTGTCTGTCTGTCTGTCTGTCTGTCTGTCTGTCTGTCTGTCTGTCTGTCTGTCTGTCTGTCTGTCTGTCTGTCTGTCTGTCTGTCTGTCTGTCTGTCTGTCTGTCTGTCTGTCTGTCTGTCTGTCTCTGTGTGTGTGTGTGTATGTGTGTGTGTATGTGTGTGTATGTGTGTGTATATGTGTGTATGTGTGTATGTGTGTATCTGTGTATGTGTGTATGTGTGTCTGTGTGTCTGTGTGTCTGTGTGTCTGTGTGTCTGTCTGTGTGTCTTTGTGTCTGTGTGTCTGTCTGTATGTCTGTCTGTCTGTCTGTCTGTCTGTCTGTCTGTGTGTGTGTGTGTCTGTGTGTGTGTGTATGTGTGTGTGTGTGTGTTTGTGTGTATGTGTATGTGTATGTATGTGTGTGTGTGTATGTGTGTGTGTATGTGTGTGTGTGTATATGCATGCATGCATGCATGCAGGTAAACGAGTGACAGTGAATAAATATCCCTTAACATAATATTCAGACATCCCAACACTGACCTGCTGAATATCAAATGCCATGACGAACTGGAAAAAAAAGTTAGCAGAAAGCATGGTGACAGAAAGGAGGGGAAGGGGCCGACCATAATAAAGATGGCTACAAGATATACGTGATTCCATTAATATGAAAGTACGCGAGGCGGGAGAACTGGTGAGAGACCGAATTTCTTTCACGCAGACGGTGATGAGAGCGACTTTCTGCAAAAGACCTGCTAGAAGGTGATGATGATGATGACCTACTGAAGCATAGATATAAAGTTGAGCAACTGATTTTTGTTGTTGTTGCTTTTTAAACCCAATAACTTCCAATTTCATTTTCCAGCGAAAATCCAATAAGTAAGTGTACCAAGTTATACAACAGACTTAGAACTGGAAGTTTATTTCGTGAAGACAGTAGCATCAAGGGCAGGTTTACTGAATATTTTGTTATCTTACAATAAGGCATGCTCG